AGCAACCAAATGCCTTAACCTCTACATAGATCCTTTGCCTAGTATATAGTGAGTGTTAAATGAACTTTGAAAAGTTTTTTGATAGGGCCATTCCTTTAGGAGTATTAGTGTAGGGCACTAACAGTAACCGTTATTTAGTGTATACCTCTGGTGGCATAGCAGCAGTTCAAACCCACCAGCTTTTGCATGAGAGGAAGGTGAGGCAATCTATTCTGTAAAGATTTGCAGCCTTGGAAACCCAATGGGGGTCACTATGAGGTGGAATCGACTTGACGGCATTGGGTTTGGGTTTGGGTTTTCTAATTCCTTTATGTGTCTCTTCCACTCCTGCACCCCAGCCACCAAGTCTTCCGCAAAGGAAAATCAGTCTTGGGTATTCTTCCAAATATTATGCACACATGAGAGCTTTTTCCTCTTAAAATGTATCAGATAATTCAGTATTGGTCCATGTTGTTGTTGTTGTTATGTGCCGTCGAGCCGGACTCGACTCATAGCGACCCATCCTTGGGTTTCCGAGGCAGTATCACTACAGAAGTAGATTGCCCCATCTTCCTTCCAAGGAGTGGCTGGTGATCCATAAGTCACATTATTTTTAGTAGCTACATAGTATTTTATTGTTTGTTGTTGTTGTTATTTGCTGTGGAGTCAGACCTCACTCATAGTGATCCCTCCTTGGGTTTTCGAGGTGGTATCACTAGTATTTTATTATTTAGTTATATCATAATTTATTTAACCAGTATCATATTGATGAACATATAGGTTGTTTCTGATCTTTTGCTCTTATTTATACAATAACTCAAGACCAAATTCACTGCCATCAAGTTGATTCCAACTCATAGCAACCCTCATTGGGTGTCTAAGGCTGTGAATAACTTTATGGAAGCAAACTGCCTCATCTTTCTTCCAGGGAGCCGCTGATGGGTCTGATACCTTAACCACTGCACCATCAGAGCTCTGTTTTATATATATATATATACAGTAGTGCTATAATAAATATGCTTATTCAGCAGTCATTTGCTAGCTCTACAAGTAGGAAAGGAAGCATTGGTGGTTCAGTGGTAGATTCCTTGCCTTCTGTGTGGGAGATCTGGGTTCTGTTCCTAGCCATTTGATCTCATGTGCAGCCACCACCCATCTGTCGGTGGTGCATTGCGTGTTACTATCAGGCTGAACAGGTTTCAGCTAAGCTTCCATATTAAGAAGGACTAGAAAGAAAAGCATGCTGATGTACTTCCGAAAATCAGCCAGTGAAAACCGTATGGATTACAGCAGTCCAGTTCCCAGCCAATCATGGGGATGTTGTAGGATTTGAGTCGTGTTTAGTTGGGGTCATCGTGAGTTGTGGGCCAACTTCATAGCAGCTAACAAGAGGAAGAAGTAGAAATTTTATACATTCCTATAAGGGTCAGAGGGCTTATGCATTTGTAATTTTTGTAAGTATTGCCAACTTAGACCAGGCAATCTACTTCCATAAAGATTTACCGCCTTTGAAATTTAAAGGGGGTCGCTATAAGTCAGAATTGACTCTATGGCAGTGAGTTTGGTTTTTGATTTATTGCCAATTTGTTCTTTGGAGAGAGTGTGAGTGTGCAATTTTGTTATACCTTTACTAACACTATATTTTATCAAATTTTTTGATTTTTCTGATCTGAGAGATGAAAAATACTATCTTACTCTGATGACTTAAGTTTGAATTTCTCTGATATGAGTAGAACATGTTTTATTCCTTTTGTCATTATAACTTTTGTTCATTTTCTACTTGGTTGTTGATCTTTATCTTACAGATGTGTAACCTTTCCATAAATCAAGAAAAACATTACCTGGCTGTTCTTCTTTGTTTATATTTATGCGAATTCTAGTATCAGCTTATTTAGTTACTCACCCTGCTTAACTAAAGAACAATCGTGTTGGTATTTTTGAGTGTGGCAAATTTTTTAATTAATTTAAGCTGGAAAAGGATCCGTCAGTCCCTGGAGACTTGTTTTTTGTCAGTGCCTTCTGTGCAGCCTGGACTTCTTCCTTCAATACCATTGGTTCTTGATCATATGCTACCACCTGAAATGGTTGAATGCTGAACAGTTCCTCTTGGTACAGTGTGGATCATAACAAATTATAGATAACATTGCAAAGAACTGGAATTCCAGACCACTCAATCGTGCTTTTATGGAAACTGTACATAGACGAAGAGACAGTCATTTGAAAAAAACAAGGGGATATTGTGTGGTTTAAAATCAGGAAAAGAGTGCAGCAGGGTTGTAGCCTTTCACCATACTTATTCAGTCTGTATGGTGAGCAAGTAATCCAAGAAGTTGGACTGTATGAAGAAGAACATGGCATCAGGATTGGAGGAAGACTCATTAACAACCTGAGATATGCAGATGTTACAACGTTTCTTGCTGAAAGTGGAAAGGACTTGAACCACTTACTGATGAAGATCAAAGACAGCCTTCTGTATGGATTACACATCAACCTAAAGAAAAAAAATATCCTCACAGCTGGACTGATAAGCAATATCATGATAAATGGAGAAAAGATAGAAGTTGTCAAGCATTTAATTTTACTTGGGTCCACAGTCAACACCCGTGGAAGCAAAAAACCAAAAAACCCAAACTCACTGCCATCGAGTGATTTCCTACTCATAGCAACCTCCATTGGGTTTCCCAGGCTGTAAATATTTATGGAAGTAGATCACCCTGTCTTCCTTCTGCAGAGCAGTTGGTGGGTTTGAACTACTGACTTACTGGTTAGCAGTCAAGTGCCTTATCCACTACACCACCAGAGCTCCTTTACTCATGGAAGCAGTGGTCAAGAAATCAAACAATGTATCGTAATGGGCAGATCTGCTATAAAATTTCTCCTTAAAATGTTAAAAACTAAAGATGTCACTTTGAGGACTAAGGTGCTCCTGAGCCAAGCCATGGTATTTTCAGTCACCTCATATGCATGCAAAAGCTGGACAATGAATAAGGAAGACCAAAAAAGAATTGATACCTTTAAATTATCGTGTTGGTGAAGAATATTAAATATATCATAGACTGCCAGAAGAATGAAGAAATGTGTCTTAGAAGAAGTACAACCATACTGCTCTTGAGAAGCAAGGATTGCGAGACTTTGTCTCACGTACTTTGGACACATTATCAGGAGGGACCAGTTTCTGGAGAAGGAACTGCTTGGTAAAGTAGTGAGTCAGCAGAAAAGAGGACAATCGAAGACCCTCAGGGAGATTGGTTGACACCGTGGCTGCAAGAGTGGGCTCCCCCCATAGCAAGGCTTGTGAGGCTGGTGTGGGACCGGGCAGTGTTTCGTACCGTTGTGGTTGCTATGAGTGGGACCCAACTGGAGGGCACCTGACAACAACGATTTCTGTGATTTAATTTTCAGCTTAGTATTTTCTTAATTTGCCTATATTTTTTAGGAGGTCCCCCCCCCCCACTGGTTGATCTGCATATAAATGTGTTATCTGCCAAAAATAGTTTTTCTTATTTTAATATTTTTATGCTTCATATTTTGTTTGTCTAATTAAGGCTGCTTTGATAACACACTTTGGGCATGTTTCGCTATGTGAGTATGATGCTGGCTTTGGTGTTGAGATAAATCTGTATCATGTTAAGGAAGTAGCCACATACATATACGTATATATATATTTTAAATTGAGATTCATATCATGATGCATTTTTATCATGTATTTTATCAAATACTTTTAGGTATGTGTGGTGATTTGCATATATATATTTTAAAATCTATTATTATCTAGCATCATGAGTTTAAAGTCAAGTAGTCCCTGACTTATGACAAGTTTCTGCTCAAGTGACTGTCATAAGCCAGGTCTGATGTAAGTCAAATACCTTTTTTTTTTTTTTTTTAATTAGCTTTCATTATTAATTGCCTTTTATTATCAGTCTCTTTGTAAAGAGTAAATCATAACATTGAACATCTGAAAATGAACATCTGAGAATGATAACAGCAAGTTATACACTGCAACATTGCATGTAATACATATTAATAATGGTAAGATGTACCAAAAAAAAAACCCAAACAAAAGCCTAAAACAGATGGTTGTTAGTGTGTTTCATCAGAACTCAATACATTGTAAGTTGAGGAATGCTTGTGTAGGAATTTGCGTATTGAAATATCCTTGCATTCTTGGAATAAATTCTATTTGGCCGTGGAATAGTATTCTTTTAATGCATTGCCTGATTTGGATTCTATTTTCCTACATTTAGCAATTTTGCATTGGTTTTTCTGTGAGATATTGGTCATTGTATGTGTGAGCTGTCATTTTCAGTTCTGATACATACTATTCTGTCTTTATGAAAAATGTTTTGGAAATTTAAAATTTTCTATGCTCTTAAACAATTAAAAGTGTTTGAAATGACTCTTCCTTAATTGGTTGTCATTGTTATGTGCCGTTGAGTTGGACCCGACTCATAGCGACCCCTCCTTGGGTTGCCGAGGCAGTATCACTACTGAAGTAGATTGCCCAACCTTCCTTCTGACGAGTAGCTGGTGGGTTTGAACCGCCAGCCTTCTGGTTAGAGGTCAAGTGCCTTAGGCACTATTTTTGAAACTCTTAGAGGGTATTTTCCTGGGAGATAGTTTCTTTGACTGCTTCCTCTATTCTGTGTTTTTTTTTAGGCTTTCTGCCTCTTCTCATGTCAACTTTTGGTAATTAATATATTCCTTAAGAATCATCCATTTAATTCATATTCTTTAATTTATTTGCTAGGAACTGGGCAAAATGACTTTTTATCTCCCAAGGTATCAGTGGTTATTTCTTCTTTATTTATTTACATCATTGTATTTATTTATATTATGTGGAAAAATAAATGACACGATAATCTAAAGTATATTTTTTAAAAAAAACTGTGACATAAAAGCAGTACATGCTTCACTTATCATCAGTATTCTATTAAAAATTCAATTATTTCTAAAATAACCATTGTGTACCTAGGAGTGTAGATAAGATATTCCTTTCTGATGACTCTCTTCTCTTTTGACAGGCTCTGAGGAAGAAAGTGACAATGATCCTCACCTTGAAGGCAGAGACCCTGATACTTGGCATGTTGGTTTTAAGATCTCATGGGACATAGACACACCTGGTTTGGCAATACCTCTTCACCAAGGAGACTGCTATTTTATGCTTGGTAATCTTAGGAGGATAAAAATTATTATTGATATTCTAGTGTCTAAGTTTGCATTATTGGGTGTATATTTATCTTTTGAAGTAATCTTTTCAAGCATTTTATAGTACAGGCGTATGTCAGAGATAATCATATGTAGGTTTGGTTCCAGACTATCTCCATAAAGCAAATATTGCAATAAAGCAACTCATACTCAAGTGCATATAAAAGTTATGTTTGCACTATGGTCTAGTAAGTGTGTAGTAACATTATGAAAAAGTTTGAAGGATTGTGAGAATTACCAGATTGTGACACAGAGACCCAAAGTGAACACACATTGTTGGAAAAATGGTGCTGATAGACTTGCTTGACACGATTGCCACAAACCTCCAATCTGTAAAATCCACAGTATCTGCGAAGCACAATGAAGTGAAGCACAATGAGACGAGGTATCCTTGTAATAATGACACTTCTTTATAAGAACATGTAAGTGCTTTTATTGAGATACTGCTGATGGATCAGTGAGAAATTTCTTAACTGTTTTACTGTGTATACAAATTCCTAGTAGTAAGAGAGTTTTTTTTAGTTATGAGTTTAGTTTCTTCTCAGGAACAGGTGACCTAACAATGGGGCCTTTCTCTCCACTTGTCCTTGGTTCTCCGGGACGCTCAATACTAGCTGCCATTGGCACTGTCTGAAGCTGTGGAGGTTTACAGGCTTTAGTTTCTTTCATTCTTTTTTTAAAAATTTTTATTGTGATTTGGGTGAAAGTTTACAGAGCAAATTCGTTTTCCATACAGCAGTTCATACACATTTTGTCTCATGACATTGACTGCGATTCCCCACAATGAAACAGCTCTCTTCCCACTTCCTCCCCGTAGTTACCTCTTCCCTGTGTCCTTCCCTCCCAGGCACTCCTGCTCTGTGCTCCATCCCCTTCTCACCCTAGCCATCTCCTTGTGCAAATACTGCCCTTCTCTTCTCCACAGGCTTGAGTTTTGCTTCTTTGCTGTTAGGCATTCTGCTTTGTTTTGAACTTCCTACTAGTTTCCTGATGTACAGTGTGCAGACAGTACCATTTTTACTCTCAGATCTTCTTAGGGTTTCTTCTCTCCTTGTTTCTAGCTCCTGACTGTTCAGTTTATCTCATTCCTACCTGTCTGGGGAATCTACTCATGTGTTGGTTTTGGAGCCAGGAAGCACCAGGGCTCAAGTACAGTATTTAGGATAAGAATTAATTTCTAACTGATTGGGCATTTGTTTTAGGTATTGTGTAAGGTTCTGGGAGAGAGGTGGAAATGAATCAGTTTGGCTCTTACTCCAGGAATTCAGAGCTCTTTACATGTCCTGCAAATTTCACTCGTTGGCCCATCAGCTTCCTAGTGTTGCCTTATCCATCTGCTACCTATGTGTTCTGGTTCCCTAGTGCCGCTCTGACAGGAATATACCACAGATGGGATGCCTTAACAAACAGGAGTTTATTCCTACAATTTGGAGGCTTTAAGTCCAAGTTCAAGTGCCAGTCTCTAGGGGCTGGGTGAAAGCCCCTCAGCCTTGGGTTGCAGCTCTGCCTCCTGCTCCTGGCCCACTGAAGCTGGAGGCTTTTCTTCACTCAGCTGCTGGCTGCTGAGGCTGACAGACCCAAGGTTGACAAGTAAAAAGACAGTCTCGATGTTACCAACCCATACAGCAGACCATTATTTCAAGTACATTGTAAGTCCCAAGGTCGGCAGAGCATGGCAGGTTGCTGAACAATGACATGGCTACATGCAGGGTCCAAGCATGCCATAAGCCAGAGACCATTCCCCAAGGCTTCTGCTTATATACAGAAAGCAGACCACATTCCCTAAGACAGCTACTCAGCTGCTCACAGTAGATTCCACCATGGAGTTGATTACCAGTCTCATCATGGGGAATACTACATCCAGCTGCCCAGCCAATCAACTAGACCCAGCCAAGTTGACACATAAACTGAACTACCACACTATGTGTTATTTACATACTATTTTTCTCTAAATAATCTCACTTTTTTTCTTTTACGGAAATAAATTTTAAAGGGTATTTTATATCACTACCTAATTAAAAAACTAGTAACACATAGCATAGTTAGATGGGTTTTATAAATCTATAGAGAAACTCGGACAGTATTGTTGAGTGTCTGTTACCTTCATCTGCTGAAGACCCTGAGTCCTATTCTATCATTTTTTAAAAAGAGATTAGGGACTGTTAGAGAGGTGTTAACCATATAATGGCACCAATCTGACACTTTCTTTTTAATGTTAACTGGAGGATTGGAAGATCGTTGTATGTCACTTTCAAACCCTATGATTTGGCTTGAGACTAAATGGGCATTCATTTCTCAAGAAATGATTTTCATCTGGTTGCTTTCTTCAGGTGTTTGTATTAGCAGTTTGCATCTTTGAAAGAAATGTTAGAATGACGTTTTTCATAGCTTTATTATTTTTTTCTGGATATACTAATGATGAGTACCCAGTGTAAAATTTCTACTATCTTCCATTTATTTCTCAGTATCTTATGTATTCTTTTCTGATTTAAATAGCAGAATTTGCTTATTGTAGAGAAAATAAACTCTGAAAAGTATAACATGAAAGAAGAATATGAAAAATCAGATATTCCTGTCTGCTTTCGTATACTCCTTACTAGTTTTTTTTCCTATAAATATATATGAATATAGGAGTAGTAGTAGTAATATGAGTAAGTGCCACATTTGTTGGCAAGTAGTGACAAGTCAGCTATTTCTTTAGTCTTTTCTATAAACCAGACAAAGAGATATTAACTGTATTGCATAAGAAGAAATCAAGGTTGGATGATGTTGCTTGGCCATGGTTATGCAGCTAGTAAGAAGCATGAATTGGAACTTTTGTTTCACTCCACTAAGACTCTGACACCCCGTTTGTTGCCTGGCTACCCCTCACACCCGCCTGGAACCCTTCTCACTCTGCTAGGCTCTGTGCACACCCCCACCGTTATCTCCAGCATGGATGTCTCCCTGTGCTTTGCCTAGTGGCCTTAGGACTAAGTTGTTCAGGAAGAAAGGAAGAGGAAGAAATTCTGTTTGTTTTCCTTTTCATTTCTTTTTAAAGTTATATTTTTCCTGCCATAGATATGGATAAATAATGAAAATATAAGTAATTACACTGTCCTTTTAATGGATGTTATAAGGTATATACATTTTAAAATGTACATTGCATTCTTTTAACTTTTGTAAATAATCAACAGAAGAAATGAGTACTATTATCTTCAGATATGGGTGAAATAGCTGGTATCTTACTGAACTATGCCAAGTGCGGCACAGTGTACACAAAGTCTGCATTTAGAGATTTGCTATTCTATTTCTAAAATGACTCTTCCTCCATCTCCTTTTAAACAAAGCTAAACTAAAAGTAACTGTGGTCTAATGCCGCTTTTTCTTATTTTTTAATTTCAAATACCACAAGGAGCCCCATGGAGGGACCTTAGCACTGTGCTGATACCTGAAATCTGAACTTCACAGCACTTATGAAAAGGAAACAGTTTAGCTCAATTTATAATAATATATTGGTCTGCAGAGGAAGTGCGAGTGAACCCTGCCGTCTCAAGTAAATACTCCAGGGGTGTCTGATGGGGAACGTGGCGGGTGCCTGTAATAAATCCACTGCCCATAGAAGTGAGTGAAGGCCCTGCTGGCAGTGCCTGAGGACACACTTAACTGGGGTTGTCACAGTTTTGCTTTTAAATTGAAGTCTTTGCCATAATCTCAGAGTTAGACATGACCAGATTTGCAAACAGATTTACAATTTTCACTAATTTTCCAACTAGGGCTTCAAAACACACTTAGGAAAACATACACAGACACAGACACACACACACACACACTCATTCTCTGGTCTTTCTCAGACTAGCATGATTTACTTTGCCCCAGATGTTTTCCATAGACTGAATGTAACTGAGGAGTTAAGGACTTAACAGTGGCTTGGAGACAAACTGTGGGTTAGTTTTCTGTGGAACAGATTAGACAGTTCAAAGGACATCAACCAAATTATGTTCATTAACCAGGAGATGAAGGTGGAGGTAGGCTGTTTCCAGACAGAGGTAAGGCGTAAGGACTAGGTAAATGTTTGGGACAAACCTCTTTTTTCTTTCTCCCTTAATTAATTAATTAGTTAATTAATTAATGGTATATGCCACTATTCATGGTTTTGTTCTATCTGGTCTCTTTTGTTTCCTCAAACCTACCTACATCTCATTTTGATTTATCTGTCGTTACTGTAATAATCAACTATTTCAAAACTTCAGTTGCCAAGTAAAAATTCCACTGCAAAAAAAGGGCGAGGGGACAATGTAAATTGAAATGCAGACTGCTTTTTGTTTTGTTTAATTTTGCTTTGTTTCACCAAGCATTAGGGTGGTGGTGTTGTTGTTATGTGCCGTCGAGTCGGCCCCGACTCATAGCGACCCCTCCTTGGGTTTCCGAGGCAGTATCACTACGGAAGTAGGATTGCCCAACCTTCCTTCCAAGGAGTGGCTGGTGGGTTTGAACCGCCAGCCTTCTGGTTAGCAGTCAAGTGCCTTAGCCACTATGCTAGCATTAGGGTAGACTAATGTAAAGGCCGTGGGACTTATTGTCCTCTGACCAGGTTCCAGACTCTGTGTATGATCTGTGGGCTCTGCGACGTTATGCCTTCTCTTCATCTCTGCCACCACTGTGAAATGGGTGCTTAATGATGCTTGATTCTCAAAGTTATTATGAAGATCCAATAAGAAAATATATGGGAAAGTGCTTTGCAACCTACAGTTCAAATGTAGGGGATTATTAGGAAGATTGGGCCTTGGGTTTTGGTATATTGGAGACCCAAAAGGCAACTCCACGATGGAAGGAGGCCAAATGCTGTGGTCTCATCTGCTTCATGCCCTGAGTGTTGCAAGTCTTGCACTTAACTGCTCCATATATATTTCCATAGTGACATAGAGTTGCTACAGAAAAGAGAAATCTCATCAATTGATTCTTGAGGTTGAGAAGTATT